CAGTCTAGTTTAAGAAAGTCCAGTGTGGGGTGTGAAACAGGTGGGACTAAGGGTCGTCCTGGGGTTCTGCACTAGGAGGTTACTGGGTGGATTAGGACATCATTGGTGGGTTGCAGGGCTCCCAGGAGGAGTGTATGAAGCCGAGCTGAAAGGTATCTGAGCCTAGGGAAGGCCAGGAGATGCTCTCTGGGGAGCAGGGCTCAGGTGGCAGCCGTCCTCTATGTAATAGTGCAATCTTCTCACTAACAAAGCCACTGCTATCTCTCAGCGGCACGTAGGGAGCCAAAATTAATGGGGGTGAGGGGAAATGGGGGTGATTTGACACTGTGGCTTCTCATATGTGGACATTTAATAACCCTTGGTAGGGAGAATATAATTCCAGAGCTACGAGCATTTTCAGGACATTTGTTTGGCAAAGCTGCGGCTGCCAAGGCATTTAGGCTTTGTGGATTTGAACAAGCTAGACTCATCAGAGAGTTGAGGGTCTTTTCTTCCCATCTGCTGGGGAAAGACCCACTAGGTGCATGCGATTCCACAGTTAGGTGAGCAGCTGGAGCTGCAGACGATGTCAGACATGCTTTACGGGAAAGCACTGCCCTCTGCAAAGAGCTGCATGTCATTTGCCAAGAGGGAAATAAATTCTGGAATGTCACCCTTTCCTAGGGCCCTTGCATACGGGTGTCAAGGCCAAATAGCATGATACATTTTTTCCCTGTGAGGTGCTTTCGCATGAATAGAATGGGCTCGATAGGGGTCTTTCACATGCGTGCGCGTGAAGATGGCACCGTGTATACAGTGTGGGCTGGAACGGGAGGGCAGGGCCAGAGGGAGACGGGTCAGCATCGGTGTGGTCACTCCCACCCCTCCGTGTGCACTGGAGGAAATCCCAACAAGCAGCTGTGTCTGGAGTTGAAATGAAAAATACGAGAAGGGGGGCCAAAAAAAAAAGGTTAGAAATTTCCTACAGTTTACTCCCAAGCAACGCGGTACAACTGTGGGTGGTTTGGAAACTCCAGAGGCTTATAAACCAGGGCGAGTCCTGTAAGGAATATGGTGATTCATTTTGTGCAAAGATCTCTGGCCAACCATCCTCAACAAATGGGGGCAAAGGCATCAGCAGGGTAGCACAGCAGGGGCTGCGGTGATGGGCAGAGTGCAGGGTGAGGGAGGGTAACAGGTGTCCTGTCAACACAAACTTCACGGCACAGTTCCTGAGGACGGCATCCCATTTCTGCTGATGGATGACTAAGGTTTATTTAACCTCTCCCGTTACACACAGTTACGTTACTTCCGCCTTGTTGTTGTCGTCATACACTGTTGTGCATCAGAGAATCCTGACACCACAGCTTTGTCCAGATCCTCTAACACTTGATTCTCCTACATTAGGGCAAAACAGTTACTGGGTCTATAAACTCGATAATCTAAGACTCTAAGCAAAAGTGCCAAAGAAGCCAGGCTTTCATTTACCATTCTAAACTCCTGTCTCCTCACCACTTGGGACCCTGGCAGCTGGCTGTAAAGGACTCCAGAGGGACCTACCCCTGGCCCCCCACCCAGGCTGGCCCCAGACTATGGAATAACCTCTCTTTCCTCTGCAAACAAAACTCTCTCTTAAAATAAGACAAAAGCAAGATAAGTGCCTGGATAAAGTAAAACCCAAATGATGGCGTAGTGAACCTTTCTGAAGTGGGGACTGTGCTCGAGAACAGAATTTTTTTTTTTGAGTGGGGAGGAAAGTTTGGCTATCCCTCATTTTCTTCAGGCTCACCCTCCCTCACCCCATAACCCTATAACAGGAGATCAGAAACATGCCTCCTTCTGAAAGGTGGCTGCCCCTTTCCTGCGCTTTCATCATTGTGCACTTGTAGCCACTGCTGGGATGGGCAATAGAGACCCGCCACGTGTGAGTTAAAACCTTGCTCTTGACGACTTTTGAAAACAATGAGTAAAGCTAACAAACATCCGAAACGTTCTTGGCCTATGGCAGGATGTTTCAGCAAACAATTGTGACATGTACAGGACAAGCCGCGCCCTCACTTCTGGAGTAGGTGATCCCAATGTGGAAACAGGAACTAGAACATAAACCTAGAAGCAGGTGAGTGGCCCCTGGCCCTGTCACTCCCACTAACAGATCCTATGAAGAAGGTCATGCCCTTTTCTATGCAGCCTTAGAAGTGACATTCATTCAGTCCACCCGGCCAGAGTGCTGGGAGAACGGCGTGCGCTAATGTGTGTGAGTCTATCACATACAGTGCGTGACAGTGCTGCGCAAACACAGGTGTGCGCATTTTTGTCAAAGTCTTTTTAGGAAGAAAAACACTGTGATGAGCTCAACGTAGGTAGAAATGGAGCAGAATCAAGCACTAATAAACCTATTTGTCTAGTAGAATCAGAGTCAGAAAACTGTAGAATTTTGCTTTTTCTTCCAGGGATGGCCTATGGGCAAAATATTCATATTCTGCTCTCAGTGACAAGTTCCACTGTCAATAGATGAGTTCAGAACCCAAAGGATATGTTCAGACACATCCCCAACCCTGCGATGTGGCTGCCTTGTTCAATTTAGCCTCAGGGATTCAGAAAGAAATATTTATGAGTTAGAAGCGCTTTCTCAAGAGCAGTGACACAGGGCACTCAACGTTCTCTGATCTTTCAGAACAAAGGCTGGGATACATGTTCTTCTCATTTCTTCAGCAGGTATTTCAGGGTGTCCTCTGTATCAGGTACCAGATTAGGTACTGGGATTACTTGTTCTCGTGGAAGAAATAAAGGACTAAACAGCCGTCTGTGCACTTAGTTAAAACAGGCGCACCCTGAGGACACACGCTGCTTGCTCTGCTCTGTTGTGGTGAGTGCCTGAGACCTGGGCACGGGGCATAGGTCCGGCTCAGCCACACTGGGTGCCTTTTGTCTGCTCACAGGACGTTTGCCCCATGTGGTCCTAGAGAGCTACTTTTCCATCTCCTTCCAGACAAAGGAAAACTACCTTAGGAGTTCCTGGGTGAATTAAGTATGATTGAAAGGATCCGTGCACTCAGCCATTCCTAGCATTGACTTCATGTTCATGGTTTGGGTAAGGGAGCAGGAGAGAGCAGCTCCTGGATTTCATGCAGTGTTTTTTTAAGAAGTCAAAGCCTATTCAAATGAACTTGATGAGAAACCAGCACTGCGCCAGGCCGCTGTTCCAGCTCTGCCCAGGCCCTTAATCCTGACCTGCGGGCACCCTGCCAGACCCCAGGAAGCCTGCCAGTCACTAGGAATTACACAGCACAATCCTGCTGGGGGCACTGCCCTGCAGCAAGCAGAGCTCCAGGGAAAGGGGACCTTGTGTTTCCTTGCTCCTTACGCCAAAGCGCCACATTCTGTTGTTAAAGTAATGATTTATTTGTGTGTGTGTGTGTGTGTGTGTGTGTGTGTGTGTGTGTGTGTGTGTGTGTGTGTTTCTGCTCTAGGGAAATATCCTTAGTATCAAGGGTACAGCTGGTCAGTAAGCCACCTTCCCTGTGAATACCCAAAACAGCCCGTTTGGAGAGCGATTGAAAAAGACACCTCCCCCCCCCACGCAATGTGGCCCCCTAGGAAAAGGGCTTGGTGAGCTGAGCTGTGGTGGACTTCAGCCCCCTCCACCTCTCCATGGCTTTTTGCAGTGTGCACGCTGCACAACGGGACGGCAGCCCTCGTAGGTCCTACCTCCCAAGCACCTTCTTTTGGCTCTAGAGGGCACCATGACTTCTGTTCTAAAACAATCGGAATGCCCCAAGGGTCTCTTTAGTGTGGATTACAATCTCCTTTTCTTCTGTATACTTTTCTTTATAAAGTGACAAAAGAAGAGTGGTTATTAACAGATTTAAAAAGCTGACAGAAGTACAGCTTATGTCGCACATCCCAGTGTGGTTACCTTTGATTTCAGGTTCTGCTTTCCCCCTGTGATTTTTATTCCTAGGTTTTAAAGGATAAGTGTTCACACTTCTTTCTCTCTCCTCCTTCCTAGTCCTGCCCTTCTTCCAACAAAATGTTTGGGAACTGGGATCTGCTTTGCACCGTCCAGATAGGATTTTAAAGTAGTGTCCTGGGATGCCTTCCAGCCTATGTATGAAAACGTCCCCACATGGTGCTTCCGGCTGGGGCTGGGTGTGCCCTGGAAGTGGGAGAGAAGGCACAGGCATTACTGCTGTTCACTGGGCTGTCCCCAAAGCCCAAGTGTCATTAGGGAATATCTGCGACACACCCAAACTGCTCCTTAGGGCTGAGCATTTGCTAAATTGATGTTCCTTAATTCCTGGAGACCTCTGTCCGCGAGCCATGAAACTTGACGTTAAATCGGCGAGTTGCAGAATGGACAAGGTTAGGAAGCCTGCTCCGAGGGAGAATTACAGAATGCTTCATCCAGCGAGAGTGATTCTTGCTGTGCCCACACTCGGGAATGACGTGTGAAATTCAGGCGCAGCGCAGGCGGGCGGGCGACCACCATGGTTTGGCAGGGCCAGGCGTCCTGCAAGCTTTTGCTGAGTGACTGCAGGAGCCACGGGCGGGCGGGGAGGCCTCTCTGTGACAGTCCCCATCCGGCCCCCCGCGCACCGCGGACTCTTCTCTAGCTGGGGGAGATGGCTTTCAGGGAGCGGAGGGGCAGCTCGGGTCGGGAGGGGAGGGGGCGCTGCCACGAGCCAAGATTGCTGTGGCTGCCGAGGCGCCCGCCGGTGTTGTGTAGCGGCTGGGACGGAACCCTGCAGCGCGCCCCCCGCCGACGATGTGACAAACGGACACGCAGGCAGATTTAGACACGATTAGCGAGCGCTTTCTCTCCGCCAGGGGAACGCCGAGACGTTTAAGGAGCGCGGCGCCCTGGGGTTTGGGCAGCCTGGGCCATAGGCTGGATTCAGGAGGTCGCCTGGGAAAGGCGGGCGGGATCGCCACAAGGTCGCAGACTGTCCTGGACCCCGGCTCTACGCACGCTCGGGCGTCTCACCCTGGGGGTGGGGGGGCTCCCAAGCCGGGGCAGACTCAGAGAAGGGGGGAATCTAGCAGGGAAGCAAATGGAGGGGGTGCAGAGAGCAACCCAGGGTGGGCGGGGCTCTGTAAAAAGACAAGGTTTGGGGCGCGGAGCAGTCGCCCAGAGAAGACGGGAGGGTCTTGTCTGAATTGAAGATGTGCGGACAGAGGAGCCAGGAGTCCAGCCCCGGGGGAGTGTGAATCAGCGCGGCTTCTAGTTAAAGGAGGAGCTGGTCTTCTGGGGGAAAAGGTGCCATAAAAGTGGGCAGGGTGTTGGGGTGAGGCAGTGGAGCAGGGTGTCCAGCGCGCGGACCTGGCGCGGGGTGCTGGGGCGGGCGCGCGGGCGGGGGCCCCCGCACACCCCCACCCACCCCGGGACGAGCCTGGCTGGCGATCCCGCCGCGGGGCCTCCTCTCCCCTCAGGCGGCCTCTCCCTGCCCCTCCTCCCCCGCGGAGCCGCGGAGCCGGGACGCCAGCGCAGGGCGCAGGGCACAGGCAGCGGGCTGCCCGCCGGGCTGGCCATGGCGCCGGCGGCGGGCGAGCGGGGCCGGCTCCGGAGGTGCGGGCGGCGCTGGCGGTGCGGACGGGGCGCGCTCATTGCCTGCGCCGCCTGGACCGCCGGCTGGGTGCTGGCGGCCGCGCTGCTGCTGCGCGCACACCCGGGCGTCCTCTCCGAGCGCTGCACCGACGAGAAGAGCCGGCGCATCCTGGCCGCGCTGGTAGGTCCCGCCGCAGCCCTGCCCCGTGGGGCGCGCCCCGGGGAGACAGGGGGGGACACGGTGCATGGAATGCCCGCGCGCGCATCCCGGTCCCGGGAATGGGGAGTGTGCCCAGACGTCCCCTGTGGGCGCGCGGGGTGTCTCTCCCCATTTTGCCAAAATTGGTCCTTTGTCCCGAGTCTTCCTGCCCGGCTGCTGTCCCACCGCCCCCGAGTCCGCGCTGCTAAAGAAAGTTTGCGGGTCTGCTCCGAGTCTCCTGACAGCCCCTCGGTGTCCTGTGTGGGGCGGCCAGGCTCCAGACACTGGGCAGGACGCGCGCGGGCCGCCAGGGACCACGCCTCTGCCTCTCGGGTCTCCGTTCTCTTGTTCAGCCGCTGCTCTGTGGTCCCAGCCTGGGCATCACCGCGCCCAGCCGCATGCAGACGGCTACTAGGGCCCTGCCTCCTGCGCCCCAAACCCGCGTTCGCCCCGGTGTGGTCTGTGGAACCCTTGGCTGGGTGCGCTCCGGGGAGGGGAGCGTGCCGTGGGGGCGGCTCGAACCCCACAGACTCCTGTGCTGGGGTCATGACAGCCGTCTCTTGCCCACCAGGGGAGAGCCTGAGTGCTCCTTGGCTGCACGGGGCAGTTAGGGGAGGACGACATGCCTGGGCTCCAGGCTGCTGCGCGCACTGGGCCCCAGACGCCCATCAGCTCCTTCCAAACGTTGGCTGCTCCTCCGTCTGTTTGGTTCGGAAGATGGTGCGCATTAAGAGACGCGAACAGAGTTGGGAATCCCCAAAAGGAAAGCCAAGAAATGTGCCCTTAGGGGCTGCGACTGTGACGCTGATTTCTGATGCGATCACTCACTTCCCCAAACGGTGACCATCTAAGCATTTGGTGTGAAAAGTGATCCATTTTTTAAGAATTCTTCAAGAAATGCACAGGAAGTTTTCGGTCCAGTTGCTTACATATGGGTGGGCCTTTTGAGATTGCAGGTTTACAAAGCGTAGTAGTATACAGGTTTTCAAGTAAATGATTACTATAAAAAGTGAGGTTGGAAAAATTTAAGAAATGACTGAAATGTACAAGCTAAAAAAAAATCATATTCCCTGAGTCTGACATGTGTCATCATGAATTGACCAATAATGCAAGTGAGACACTATCAATTCCCTCCATCCCATCCATCCATCCATCCATCCATGCATCCATTGTTACACTGAAGTTCTATCAATTTTTAATTTAAGTTGCATGAGCTCCTTGATTTTTCTCACTAACCCATATGAAAATTCCTTTCACTCATAGATATTTTTTCCCTCTGTTTTGGGGGGACTGATTGACTAATTAGAGTGCACAAAGATTAATAGTTTGGCCAGGATCGAATACCTGTTTACAATAATAATCTTTTAGATTAAAAAAAAGAAAACAAAAGTCATTTTTCATTTATATGCCCTTTGGTTAAGTGAGAAAAGGCCTAATGGAAATTAAATAGCCTAATATAATTTAAGTCACTGTTAATCATAACTTTCCCAGCGTTCCAGCTCATAAATTAAAACCAATTCTGATTAGAGGCTCCAGCAGTATATCCCCAGTGGCAGGCTGATGGGGTTGTTTTTAGTCTGACTTAAAGCTGAAGAGGTCAGGCCTGCTTCTGAAGACTTCCTTCCTTCCTAGCGCCAACAGAACGATTTCAAATACCAGGTCTGTCTGTCTTCCTAAAGTTCACCTGACGTTGTCTCAGTGAACTGACTTTTTGGGGAGTGTCATTTGGACACCCCTTTTGAGGCCATTGTTTCTCTCTCCCTCTCTCTCTCTCTCTCTCTCTCTCTCTCTCTCNCTCTCTCTCTCTCTCTCTCTCTCTCTCTCTCTCACACACACACACACACACACACACACACACATACACGCTCAGGACATGGCTTTCTCTCCCTTTCTTCCTGCCGCGTCCCTTTCTGCCTTCTCCATTCTGGATTTGTTGCTGTGAGTCCCATCCTGGCTCACTTTTACTCAGGACACACTAAACTAGAACGAGGTTTGAATGCCACCCCAGTGTCCACAACCCAGATTGCTGGGTCCTGGCTGCCGCACAGAGGCTGGCATGTGGCCTCCCAGGACTTCAGCTGAATTGAGCTTCTGTCTCTCGGCTCCCCAAGCACTTTCAATTCATCCTGCCTGGCTTTTATCCTTAATAATAAAACCGGCTGTTATTTTTCTGACTGGCCGCCAGACTCTCATTAGCTTTCCCTCTGAATACCAGAGCACAGAAGGAGTAACTGAGCGAAGCCAAAGGGAGCCCTCGCTCTCTCTGGCAGAGGCAGTGAACTTGGGGGCAACTCCTGCTGGTTTCCCAGGCCCCCAGTGCGGCGGGGGCACTGCTGGCCTGTGGGGAGTCTGTAGATAAAGCTGAGGAGCTGGTTAGGAGCTGGGAGTCAGGTCCGCTGGTGCCCGCAAGCCCACCACACCTCCTGAGGGAGCCCACCACTCTCCACAGCCCTGGAAGAGGGGAGAGTTGGAAGAGCCAACTGGAATTGTTCCTGAGTCATGCTCTGGGTCTTAGAACTTCGGAATTTTCTAGTCAGGCTGCAGTGTTTCTCTTTACTGCGGCTTTAAAGCACATCTCATCTTCAAGACATCACATACCCTCCTCCACTTCTCTGCGAGGTTTCTAGAGCCCGCCTATGCCCACGAGCCACGCAGGCGGCTATGCCAGGCTGACGAGCCCGCTTCTGCTGTGCAGGCAGGGAGGGTCGTGCCTGTGTGCTCGCGCTGGGCAGGCTCCACGCTCAGCATCGTTTCATTCGATCCCCTCAACAACCTCTGGGAGGCGTGTGCTGTTATGGTTCCCGTTTCACAGGTGGCAGCATCGTGCCCCAGAGAGGCAGTTACATGACCTGACTCACGCAATGTGACCCTGTGCAGTCTGATAGTAGAAACCCCATGACAGTAAGTCATGAAAACCCTCCATGACTTAACCCTTCCATGGCATATCCCTCTCAAAGCACCTCAAAAACATTCCCACAGACCGTTACTCAGAGGCTTAATGCCTTTTGGCTAGTTAGGCTGTGATGTGACTTAATGTAGTTCCCTACGTACAGCGTTCCTTTTTAGGGGCAGGCTTGCCTTTCTCTGCTGGCATAGAAACCCAGGGCCCCAGTGGGACCACAGCATCCAGGGCACATACCCAGGAAGACTTTATAGTAGAGAATGACTCTGTTTCCCTGAGTGCTTCGGCTGTGTTCATAATATGCATTTTCTGAGCTGTTTGGGGTCAAAAGGGGTTGCCCAGTGGACCGGCCACTTCTCTGAGACTCTGCAGTGCACACAGCAACTGCCTGGAAAGGAGCTCCAATCCTGTGACATGCATGTGGTAACCCACAGGAACGTAACACCCCTTAAAAACAAAAACAAACACACAAAAGAAAACGCAGCCCTGAGGCCTGACCTCTGAGACCGGAGTGGACAGGCTTTGTTTTTGCCTGTGAACCATGATACAAGCTGGCGAGGTTCTAAGCAAAAAGCGCTAAGAACGCTTCCTACAAGAGCTGGGAGTGCTGAAAATGTGTCTTTGTACGTACACACACAATGCATAAGAAACACAAACCCACTATGAGTTTAACTAACTAAAAAATGCCAGTTAACTACAGTGAGCCTTTATTAATTTGGGTATTTTTTTTCTCAGTTTATTTAAAAACCTGATACCTGTGGATTTTGTACGCATATACTTTTGAATACAGAAATGTCTGTAAGCTGGTAGTTAGGACCTCCTCATATTCAGAGAAAACTGATTTTTAAAATGGAGTTGAAGTAAATACACCACTTTTGTTAAGTTAAAAAATAGCTACTTCAATAGGACATGCTGCTAATAAAATAACTTCACAATTGTCTCTAACATGATGCCAGTTATTAGTTTGTAAACTTACAATTTGTACTTTAAGGTCGCTGCTATTTAAATACCAGATTAAGTCTTTCTCTGTGTTTAGTGGCACAGACACAAGAGAAGACCCCACAGACGCGCGCTAAACCTGGTAGCCATGATAGCCAAGGTGGATGAAGTTACCTTCCCCCTAAGAGAAGTGTGGCTCCAATGGCAAACATGCTCCATCATAAACGACGATAGGAAGAACCGCCCCCTAATAACCACACTTGTGTATACTTTGCTCTGATGTAAAAGGTCTCGTAGGACAAACGAGGCCACGGGGCACGGAGAGTTACAGATCACAGACCTAGTACCTCACCTGTGGGAGCGGCCGAGGTTCTGGGTGCCTCGCTCCACTTCCTGTCCTGGCCGATGCCCAATGCTGCGTCCCTTACATCTCAATGTGCTGACCTTCAGAAAACAGCCAAAGTTAACATTCCCCTCCAAAATCAATAGGCCAAAGGCCAAGTTCAATGATTCTACCATCGTAGAAAATATCTTGCCACTCCTGTATGGAATAGACTTCCAATTTTGCAGGGACAAATCTTGTATAGATTTCAATTCAATTTGAATTTGATTTCATCGACGCAGTACATTTCGTAGGAAACACTGGCGGAGCCAGCAGGTGAGGGGATGGCGCAAGGGACCCACTTGGATCGTTTAGTGAGAGCGGGGGGGCAGAGGAGGGAGGCAAGCACCCCCACTGGCAGGCAGGGCTGCCCCATGTGAAGGTTGATCTGATCTGTGCAGGGTAGGAAGCATTTTCATCAGGTGGAGGCCGCGGCATGGTGCTTTTGATAGGATACACCGTTCGTTATACAGGCGTGTGGCTTTGCTCTCGACTCCCCTGAACACATCTGCTTCTCTGAAAACGCTGCACTGCTTTGCAGCTCCGGGTCTTTGCACAGGCTATCCCCTGCGATGGAACTGCTCTCGTCCTCCTTGTCTGTTAGGCGGACTTACAATTTGTCTTTCCAAATTGAGCTCAGATGCATCTCTCCAGCAAGAAGCCTCCCTGGCCCCAGGCTGCTAATGACCAGAGCTGGAGAGGGTGGGAGGGAACCACCGTTCCCTGAGACGACCAGGTCCTCTGTACCCTTGACCTTGGTTGACCTTCCTCACAGGTCTCCCGTGACATAGTACCATCATCCCATGTTATGGACTTGAAAACAAGTCACACACCTAGTGAGGGAAACAGCCCAGAGGCAAACCCAGTCTTCCCCAAAGCCACACCTGGTCGTGTTCCTATCTTGCCCATGTCACATTTCACATTCCATGGTTATTTAGGGGATTCGAAGGCAGCCAGCTCTGTTCTGTGGACTCTTAAGCCTGGTACCTGCAGTTGGATCGTGGCTCAGCTCACGTTCAGCTGGGCTAAGTTCGGAAAGTGGCCTTGCTCATTTGAAGGTGGCCAGTTGTGGCTGAGGCAGATAGCCTGGCCCGTGGCCATTCCTCTAGCAAGTCCATCGGGCAGGGCCTGGTGAATGTCTGCTTAGGGATGACTGCACTGTAGTGTTGAGGGGGACTCGCCTGGTCCCCTCATGTGGCGCCCATCAAAGGAGCCCCTAAAGCCATCGGAGGGCTCCTGGACGCCTTCCTAACCACCGCCAGGTAACAAACACCCTCCACGTCCAGAATTTACCCCACGCAGTTCCTCTCTTCTGAAGGGTGTCCCTGGTGCCTTCCAGGTCTAGTCCTGCTGACACCACCAGCCAGGAGGCCTGTTCTAACCCCTGTTTCCAGTGCGAGTTCCCTGAACCCCGATAATCCCCCCGAGCCTGCTGGCATCGCAGGCCACACCGCTCACAGGGAAAACAAGCTCAGAGGACACTCCGGTAGGAAGGCCGTGCCTGCGGCCTCGGGGCCCCACCTCCCGAGATCTGACTTAGCTGTCCTTGGATGGGGATTGAAAGCTCTCTGGTGACCCTAACGCCGCACCCAGCCCTCTCACCGACAGGTGACGGAGCTGACACTCAGATGGCAACATGACTTTTCCCCGCGTCACGCGGCTGCGCGGCGGGGGGTATCCCGCTCTGAGGACCCAGGCCCGGCCTGACTGAGACGAGCTGCCTGGCTCAGTGACGCACTGGCCCGAGCAGCCCGCACCGCTCCTCTTCACGAGGCTTCTCTCCACAGCTGATCAGAAGCGCCCTGAGCGCAGGGAGCCGCCTGCCCCCTTCCTGCCCTCCCCATGGTGACCCACCGCCCCTTCCTTCCAGTGCCGGGACTACCAGGGCGGCGTGCTGGTGGGCGACCTCTGCGAGGACCTGTGCGCGGCGGGGCAGCTGCGGTACCGGCGCTGCCTGCACTACGAACGGGGCAAAAAGGTGCTGCAGGCCGACTGGCGCGGCCGGCCCGTCGTGCTCAAGTCCAAGGAGGAGGCCTTCTCCAGCTTCCGGCCGCCGGGCCTGCTGGAGGACCAGGCCGGCAAGGGCGGCCCGGACGTCCCGGAGGCAGAACTCCTCCTGCTGGTGGCCGGCGAGGTCAGGAACGCGCTGGGCCTGGAGCTGTCCAACCGCAGCCTGGGGCCGCTGTGGCCGCGGCTCCGGGGTCCCCGCTGGCGGGGCCGGCTGGCCAGCCTGTGGTCCCTGCTGCAGCAGGAGGAGTTTGTCCTGCTCAGCCTGCTGCAGGACCTGAGCCGGCACGCCCCGCCCGTGCTGGGCTCTTGCGGCCACTTCTACGCCGTGGAGTACCTGGCGGCCGGCAGCCCCCACCACAGTGCCCTCTTCCCCCTGGGCGGGACCTCCCGGGGCCAGGCCAGGGCTGTCAGCGACATGGCGCTCAGCTTCCTGGACCTGGTGCGCCATTTCGACAACGACTTCTCCCACCGCCTCCACCTCTGCGACGTGAAGCCCGAGAACTTCGCCATCAGGAGGGACTTCACGGTGAGCAGCCCTGGGAGGGTGCGTTTATCACGTGGGGGTCGGGGTGGTTGTACATGAGAGGATTTCTGAAGTCCTGGGAAACAGGGTGACATGATGCAGTCTTCCGCCCTGCCCTCGCGGCCCACCCTCCCTTGGTGAGAATTCAAAGTACCCCAGCCCCTCACCCCCGACCCCCAGCCACAGGGACTATAATGAAAGGAATGCAGGAGCTGAGGGTCGCCAGGCCGCGTGTCCTCCCTCCCCGAGGGCCACTCTGGCGTCTCCACAGCAGCGCAGCAGCTCCTTGCAAGGTCGCTCTTGCTGGGTGTAAAGCACGATCCTCAGGCGATGACTGGCCACAACGAGGAGGCAGATGATGGCCTCTGGGGGCCTCTGCACAACAGCCCAGGGGACTGACGCAGTTTTCAAACTGCCCACGCTCCACAATGACGTGCAAAAACCTGCCCAGTGGAAAGGTCTGCCTCTGCACTGCTCTGTCCACAGGGTGTGCAATGTAGCTCCCGCGCCAGAGTTCAAGGAATTAGACAAGGTGTTGAGGCAACTGCAGGAGGAGACCTCAGTGTTTCATTATCAGATAACACCCTCCCACCTGCCCCCAGCTAGGCTAAACCGGGCGTCAGGTTAACGCCACGGTGATCTGGGTGCTCTAAAACAGGTGTCACTGACCGGGGTCCCTCCCCATGTTGCAGTGGCTACCTTACACTGCAGGTGCTGGCAGGTGAAGGGCCAGGCCAGCATAACTCCGGCCACCTTAGCGGGCCGGTCATTGGGGGTGGGCTATCTCATGGTGGAACGATGCTCTTTATGTCAGTTAGGAACACAAAGGGACAAGTAGAAGGTACTATTACTGCCAGCCCTGGGTTTCCATGGCAGGGGGCATAGGACTGCCTCCTTAAACAGCCTGAAATCAGTGCATATCCTTCTCCTTTAAGCCTGTCTCTGAAGGCTGAGTAGCATCTGGCCCAAACCGCCCTGTGCTAATGCCCTTCCCTGGCTGCCCCAGAGGGGCTGATAAGTGGCGGGGGGGGGGGGGCTCCAAGTGTGGAAGGGAAAGAGCTGAGAGGTTCTGGGAGGTTCCAGAAGGTTCCAGAAGGACCTCAGCCCTACCTGCAATACCCTGGGTTCCAGGAGACCCCCCCAGATGAGTCGTGAAGGGGAGGGATGCCCCAGTGTCATCAGCTTATTTCTCAGAGCTGCGAACCTGGCGGAAGCTTTCCTTCTTCGTGAGCAGGAAAGTTATAGAATGGACGTAAAGGGCCACTGTTCTCCTCAGAGCAGTCCTAGGGACACAGCCACCCTGAGGCCTTGGAGAGGAGGTGGAGTGTCCACACACGACCACTGGCGTCGGGCAGTTATGGGGCCAGTTCTTCTCATCATTAGGTCACTCATGTATTCATCCAGCAAGTAATTAGGGAGAGTCAATGTGTGGACCAATTCAACAGGTGTGATGGAAGTTGAGAGGCTTGAGAGGCTGTGGGGCTGCACTCTTAGGAAAGGCTCTGGACGGAGGTGGGGCCGATGGGTCTTCCCTGGAGAGTGGGCACAACGGGATGTTACTGGCTCACATGTCCACTTCACTTGTGCCTTTCTGCATCCGGCACATAATAGGCACAGAATGTTTGTTCAGTGAGAGAGAGATTGTACTCTCGACCTCCCCCCAGACTTGCTGTGTGGACTGGTGCTGGAGCACACGGGGCCCTCACCTGTGCCCGCGTGCTTGTGTGGGTGACAGCGGGGAGGAAAGCACCCTGGTATTTATCAATCTCCTTATGAGGCTGAGATTCAAGAAGTTAGTTTTCCCTATAATTTTACAACTTTTAAGTGAAAGCCAGCTGTAGGATCAGCACCATCAGAGAACTTGGTAGAAATGCCAATTCCCTACCTTCACCCCAGACTGAGTCTGAAACTCGGGGTGGACATGGCAATCTCTGCTTTATAGACAAGCCTCTGGTGGTCCTGAGGCACTGCCGCTTGAGAATGAGTGAGCTTAGCGACCGGCCGGCAGGGGCGTCCTCCCATTGGTGGGTGCTGCACTGCTGCCCAGGTGGAAGGAGGATTGACAGCTGACAGTCATTCACTTTCTCCAGGTCTTGAGAATTTATCTGGTGGTTGGAAATTCAACATTTCTACTTCCTGCCCCCAAACGACTGCCAGCAAGAGCTCCTTTCCAACGGGTGACATTCCCTACTCTAGAGTCATGCTTTTTCAGTTGATAGGGAAATAATTCTCATTGGCCCTTTCTAGTCTGTTGCCAGATGGAGTCTGAAGAAGATGGTGCAAGTTAGGTAATTCTATGCGTGAAGAATTTTACGACTCTCCTGATGCAATTGAAGAAACCTCCTGCAGTTTCCCCGGTTTCTTTTGTCACTGTTCCTATTTTAGGTGCATAGAGTTATGTTCCCAATTGCTGTAATCTGTTCTACACCACCGACTAAAAATTTAAAAATGAACCTGGCTTTCCTGGGAGCTGGGAAGGGAACAATCAGAAGCAGTAGAGAGAGAAGCTGTGGGGAATCTGAAATTCCATCTAGGGGCCCAGGGGGAGCTGGGGAGGGGATTGCCAGAAACTGTAGAAGAAAAGAAAAGGGTCTTATAACCCCAATAATAAACTATAAAGGCAATAGATCCATTAGCACAGCCTAATACGTTTTTAGTCTATTAAGCAGTGTAAATAATGAAATGACCTATTCTTTTTGGCTAAATAATGAGACAGAAAAAGCTGATTAAAACGATAATTTCTGTTTGCTGTGCCTGAATTAGTAATTAGGCAAAGCTCTTAAATAGGGAAAAGTTCCTTGTTCTTTATTTTAATAATTCTCCACATATTTTGAAGTAAATTATTTTCCCCCCTCTCTTTTACTGAATAATCCCCAAGCAACTTTATTGCCTCCTGGCATCAATCCTGAATGAGAAACAAAAGCAAATGAACGCTCTTTTGAGATGCTACCAAAGGGAGAAGGAAGGGCTGACGTTTTGATGTTGACCTGTGAAGGCTTGTGAAATGCCACAGACTCCATCAAATTCATCAAGTCTTCTAGTAGCTTCTTAATACCTTGAAGCTATAACCTGCTTGATTTGGGCAGACTCCAGGTTTTCTCAGGTTTGGGCTCATTTTATTTTTTTAAATTCAGGTGGTTGAGGGAAATCTGCATAATTTAGATGTTACTTTTTCTGGATTTGAAGCCTATTTGGTTTGAAGCCAAGAAATTCCAGGGGGTCATCCGTTCTCATGCTGATTTGATGCTATTGGATCAGAGTCCACAAGTATCAACCCATATCCAGAACTTTGATGCTGTTATTCCCCCACCTCACGTGTCTATCTGACGAGCCAGTTGTAAACCAGTTGACTCAGGTCACAGAGACACCATCAATAGTCAGAGGGATGCCATCAATAGTCACAGGGATGCCATCAATAGTCACAGGGACGCCATCAGTAGTCACAGGGATGCCATCAGTAGTCACAGGGATGCCATCAATAGTCACAGGGATGCCATCAATAGTCACAGGGACGCCATCAGTAGTCACAGGGACGCCATCAGTAGTCACAGGGATGCCATCAGTAGTCACAGGGATGCCATCAATAGTCACAGGGACGCCATCAATAGCCACAGGGATGCCATCAATAGTCACAGGGACACCATCAATAGACAACTTGGGTCCCGTCCACTCCATTTTCACCAACAAACCCGCAGACCTGCCACCTGAATGTAATGTCCTTTTACTGCTTATATTCATAGGGACAGATTATCCATATCTGACTGCTTTTGTAATCCTGACTCTGGGAGGTCAGAGACTAAAGTGATAAAGCAACGGAGGGGGAGCTAATTCATTTTTAAGATATTTCAGAGATTCTACGTTTAAATCTGAGGAACGTTTAAAATGAAAAGTGATAGTTCTAGTTACGGTTCCAAACCCTAGATTTTCACGAGTATCAGCAAAGGTCCATTTTGCAGTTACAGCCTCGCAGTGTAATCTACGCCAGGTCCGTGGCTGGTGGAAATGAGCTGGCGCCTCCGTGGCTTTGCTCTGTGGTCCCCACTCTGGGACCCCTACTCTGGGACACCTGCTCCCGCAAACGGGAAGGGGACACTGCACAGGCTCCCTCTGACTGAGCTCCAGTGGACCTTTGGTCACCCTGCGCTGTTTTGGTTATAGGTGGTGGCTATTGACATGGACATGGCCTTTTTTGAACCTAAAATGAGGGAAATTCTTGAGCAGAACTGCACAGGAGACGAAGACTGCAACTTCTTTGACTGTTTTTCAAAGTGCGATTTGCGAGTGAACAAATGTGGAGCACAGCGCGAGAACAGCAACCTGCAGGTGAGCAGTGGGGGACGTGCCCTCCGCAGGCCTCTGCCCACTAGCTCCACGGCACCCCGTTAACGCAACAGGTCCCCCTCCGTGGCCGCCTGAGGGCAGGGACGGCGGGAGACAGGGTGGCCACTTGTTCTTTGCTGTCTGACCCATGGGGCTGTTGGCTAAGTGACCCCGTGGGGTCTAATGATGCAGCTCTCAGCAAAGTCTGTTCCTGGGCTCCCCCACCAGCTGTGGGGTTTCGATAGCTGTTCCCTCTGGGTCTACTTTTGGCATCTGCACACACACACACACACACACACACACACACACACACACACACACACACACCAGCACGAAGAATGAACAGAGTACAAAGCAGTCCTAAGAAACAGCTAACTAGGGAGGTTGGACGGACACTACAGTCCAGACAGGTGACGGGTTAGGGCCAGCAGGTGGTTAACAGCGAGAGGACATGTGTCCCAAGTCCCAGAATCAGTGATAAGGGGCACTCGATACTGGATCCCGGCTTTCAGATCGAGTCCAGAGCCAGGGAGGTCCCAGTGCGGGCTCAATACCCCACCGGTGGGAACGCCCTCCCTTCCGCAGGAAGTTGTCTGCCTTCCGGCGCCCTCACCTCAGGCTCCCAGGTGGGGAGGATGAGCTCCGCCCCTGGGTGCTGATAACAACCAGGAGGAGCTCATGGCAGAGCAGCTGGGCTCACCGACAGGGGAGCTGGGGATACGGCACCGGCTCAAGTACATGAAGAGGAGAAACGGCGATCGCGACCGATGACGTCCCCCCCCACCACACACCCCACCTGTGCCTGCGAGCGCACCTGTGCTCTTGCCCCCACTTTCCTGCTTTGTTACTCTCCTGCCCAGCTCGCCCCAGTCCCACCTGCACTGCAGCCCGTTCCTGCAGTTCTCCAACCCGAAAGCCAGGCGACCCCATGCAGGCCTGGTGACATGGACCGAGGTGGGAGCAGGCCACAGCATGGTGCTGCGCCATGCCCCGGGGGGACTGACCAGGGGACCTGGACAGCTGCGGTTAATCCGGTGTCCTGGAGCAGCCCAGACCGAAGCTCTAGGGGGGAGCCCAGCAGGGACGTGCCCTTCCGAGGCCTCTCCGTTCCCACCTCTAACTTCCTGTAGGCTCACGCCCTCGGTGTGTCTGCAGTAAAATCTTCTTCAGCTGTGGGAACAAGAGGATTTTTTTTTTCACTAGAGCACTGGCCACCTGTGACCTCATCCCACTAAGTGGAAACACTAACAGCTGCCCTTCTCAGTATAATGAGACCGGGGTTTCTTAATGTATAAAGGGCTCGTACAGATCCACACAGGGGCAAGAGGGGGCCCTACCCCCAGCCTCTGAGGCTCTGACTGTGTCCCCAGGACTGTCCCTGGCCCTCCAGAGCCTCTTTCCCAGATCCCAGGGGCAGTGGCTGGTGATTGGTCAGCTGTGCACGTGTCCCGCCTCCGCCTCAGAAGGGAGCAACTACTGGGGTGGTCCCAGCGCCAGAAGTTTACCTTCTCTCTCAGTTCCATGGAGGCAAGGTCCCCAAGAAGGCCCCTCCATAAATCCCTGCATGCAAACCTCCATCTTAGAGTCTGCTCCCCAGGAAACCAAGCTAAGCAAGGGGCTAAAATCCTTAAGTGAAAATGAAAAGACCAATGTCTAATGGAAATGTGGGCAAAGGATGTCCACTGGGCCATTTACAGGACAGGAAGTACAAGGGGCTTTCAACCAGACTGGTAAGAAGAACAATGCAAATTCAACCACTTTCACCCATCCGTCGGCATTCTCATAGGACACTGCTGAGTACAGCTCAGTACAACTTTTATGGGGCCACTTTGGCAATATCTATCAAACCAAAAAATGTACATACCCGTGGGCTAGAAATTCCATTTCTAGAAAACTTAGTCACATGTGCAAAAGGAAAATGACATATATGCAAGATAATTATGGCGGCGTTGTTCATAATAGCAAAAGTTAGTAAGTAACCTAAATTCCCATCAATAGGGGACAAGTTAAATAATTCGTGGTACACCCACACATTTGAGGGGCAGCCATTAAAACACAGGGACTCTCCTTATAAAAGCTGATTTGTAAGGCTCTCCCTGGCATTCGGATAAATGGAAATGGAAGCTGTAGATCAGTGTGTGTATAGACTACCGTTTATGTAAAGCAAAAACAAAAGCAAACAAACAAACAAAACAGGAAAAATGCATGAACAGGCCGTGTCTACCCAGACTCTCTCTAGAAGGATACAAAGGAAGTGGTTGCCTCTCAGAGCCGGGGCTGAGTGTCTGGCTGTCAGGGGCAGGATAGAGACCAAGATTACAGCCTATCTTTTGGGACATTTAAAATATTTGCACATGGAAATGTATGATCAGTTCAAGAAAGAAACAAGATAACTAGTGTTTAAAAAGCATCCTGGCCCTTGCGGGCATTGGGAAGTTCCAGTTATTTGTCTTCTATGAAATAGCAGTTCAATAAAACTGAAGCATTTGTTAGATGAGGCTAATATAAAGCATGATATAGAAAAATAAAGCACTATTAATTATGCCGCTCCCAGTCCACTTCTCCCAACAGGGAAGAAATAGAAAGCTGTAAAACAAATAGCAGGTTTAAACCAACTTTAAAGAGCTCTTCAGCATCAGTGAATCTCTTAGCCTGTTAGACTGAAAGGCTGTGAGAGAATGGCTTAATTTTTACTTCTGCTCCTAAAATGCAATGTTTCAAGGGCTCTGTAAAAGAGTCTCAGCATTTCCCTTCCAACGTACCTTTTTGTCCTGCGAGCCTCTAAGTGCTATCACATTTGCGTGCTTCTCACCCAAAGGATGCTCAGGACAACGCTGTCTGGTGGTTATCACTGTGCAGTGCCCAATTTATGGCCAAGAAAGCTCAACTGCCAGGGGGGGCCGCTCTTCACGCAGCAGTTACTGCTTATGACTTGCTGCTCCCCTTTCTCTTCAGAAATGTATTCAGCCCCTTCTGAAGTGTCCCCCAGAACTTGTCCCATCTGCTCTGAGGCTGGACATGGAATGCTCTTCCTCACGTGGGGGTGGCCTTCTCTCGGGGGTGAAGTTTATTCCTGGGGCTGAGTTTCAGTTCCAGAAGGGAAGACACTTCATTAGAGTCAGGTGGTGTCTGCAGGCCTCTCCATCCCTGAAGGATGTTGGGGGTCGTGGGCAGAAAGCTAAGGCCTGTGAGGACCAGTGGCAGGCTCCCGCGGGGGCCTTCAGGGGTGATTATCTGCCCTGGACTAACTGCTCCCTCTCCTTCTCTCAGGTCATCTGTGACAAGATATTCCGCCACTGGTTCTCCTCAGCTCTCGGGGGCTCCACCATCTCCCTGGGGCTTCAGCTGCAGTTACGAGAGGCGGTGCAGGAATGCGCAGACCCAGGCCACCCTGCAGGGCACCCCCAGAGCGCACCCCTCAACGTGTTCTGGAAGCTTCAGCACCTCCTGCAAGCCACGCTGAGGGAATTGCAGGAGGCGGACCACTAGCCACTGATGGCCTTTAAAATATTCAGTCTGCGTTGTTTTAAGGAGGGGACATTTTCACTTTGCAGGTGAATGACCCCTGAAGTACCACGTGGTCTTCTGAATATGACATCGCTCAAGGCCATTTCGATTCCACGTCAGCTGCCATGATGTGCGCCTCCTTCCCTCCGGTCCTGGCGTGCTGTGCTCTTGTCTGAAGAGACCCTCCTGGCCTATGCCTCTCACTCCTTTGAAAGTGGCCTGAGGTGGGGCACAGAGCCTTTTACTTTTGCGGGGGGGCCTCAGTCAGAAACAGCACAAATCCCAGCATGCAGTCACTCTCAGCGGTCAGAACAACACAGCTCCAATGTTCTCCCTGAAAATGGTTTCCAGGTTAAAAGGGCATGTGAGTGTGTGTGTGCATGAGTGTGTCTGCACATGCATGCGAGGGTGTGCGTGTGAGGGTTGTACAAGTATGTGTGCATGTACACGCGTGTGGGCACGCATGCCTAAACAGGCACTGAGTGTGAGCAGTGAGTGTGAGGCGTGTGTGCTCTGCGGTGGGAGAAGGTAGTTTCTCTCCTGTGTCTGGGACAGTGATCCTCGCAGCCATGAAGAGTTACTTTTCTTTGGGAATGAAACACAATAAGAACAGAAGTTGCATCTGTGGGAAGTGTCATTTGTAGCAGAGAGTAGGCATGAGGCCAGCACAGGGTAGTGTTCCATTTGGGGACCCGTCTGTCCTCTGGATCGTTTTTTAGGGAGCACTGTACCACTTGGTGCAGCCCCTCTCCCCAGGGAGCAGGGTGTGGCGGGAACTGCAGGCTGGCTGAAGGCTGTGTCATCTGGAGAACTGGAAGTGGAGTGAGTACTAGGCCGGCACTGGCCGCAGGCAGCACGAGGCCAGCCCTTCCCGTCAGCTGACTGAAGACTTGGTCTGGCAACACGTCATAGGTTGGCAGAGTCCTGGCCAAGCTCCAACATGACAGACAGAGACAAACCTGAAGGAGCCCCACCTGGTCACTCCCCGGCCAGGCAGATGGACCCACGGGGAGCCGGCCAGGCATCCACTTAGAGGGCACTTGTTTCCACTCCACACCAGGGATGGTGAGACTCAACACATAATACTCAGCTGGTCACCCCCAAAGGGACATCGAGAAAGACACTGAGAGAGGATGGGGTGATTCTGGTGATGGTTTACAATCGGAAAAGACAAATGAATTGGAAGTTTTGAGAAACTCACACATTGACAAATCCCAAGCGATTTCTCTTTCCCTTCCCCAGCCCTTCCTGATCCAGACAAGGCGAGCTGCCTACTTCTGTCCACCTGGCCGCGTTTCCCCAGGCCACACAGCAGGCTGCCCCCAGGTTCACTCCGCGGGCTGACACACAAGGGAGGAAACATCGAAGGCCCACCAGCTCTGACCTCTGCGACTCCCCACGCTGTGTTTGAAGCCCCTTCGTTATCTGCTAGGCCCCCCCACCTGCCACCACCACTGGCAGTTTTAGGAATGACTGAATTTCGTGATGGGTCCCCTGCCATGGTGTCTATGAGCAAACCCCTCTGTGTTTGTGCTCTGGCAGGAAGAAAAAACCCCATGTCAGTCACTTTTGTGGCAGAAGTAAATTAAAGCTAAAGTGCGATGCACAGGCCTCAGGCTAGTAGATTCTAAAGGCAAGTATCAGCTTTGGTGCTGGGCAGAGGCTCCCGTTCACCAGAGCCGGGCCACATGCCGAGGTCTTCTGTGGTGCCGCCGAGGGTCTCAGCGAAGCCCAGGGTCCCTTTATGAGTGGAAGGTCTCCATGAAGACGGGTGTGAAACAGAGGGTGAGGGAGGCAGTGGGGGCTCTGTGGTCTGTGCCCTTAACAGCTGGCTTTTGCACCGTGAGGGCAAATGAGCCTGCCATGGGTTGACCCTGGAATCACAGCCCTTCTAACGCTGGCTCCGAGCTAACTGGCCAGGCGGCGAAGCTGCCTCCAGAAAGGGAAAAGATTCATTCTTATTTCAACCAAAACGGAAACAAATGTTTTTGTTTATCATGGAAACTATGCCATATGTAATTACCCAACACAATAGTGTTTTTATAGCTGAAAAGAAACAGTTTTATCCCTTTCTCCTTGGGTTTGACCTCTCTCTCCTCTCTCTCCACTTTCCCTTCCCGCCTGGAGAATTCCATTAACGGCAGTGTCTCTTAAACTATCTATGCTGAAGTTCAGTTTGTTTTTTTAATTCTCCAACCCTTCGGACATAATACAATAAACAAAGGCTGTTGTATCAGTATTTAATATTTTCAATGTGGCAACTGACACTGTTTCTTGCTTCTCTGATCGACCACCGCCCCTACCTGCAGGGGAAAACGTCGACGTAAACAGTTTCTCTGTTTTAATCACACGCACAGTAGACAGGACACCCTCAGACCTGTTGATGGACATCGAGCAGATGATACGGTGAGTTCAGCAAGTACAGGCTGTTTCTCTTCAAGTTTCACCCCAGTTAAGGCAAGTGGTGCTTTATTCATCTCTAATCCCTCAGCAGGAGTCAATTTTCACAATTTAGCTTGATAAATTATAGTTAAAATTATCTTTGGATGAAACATGCCCCACTGGATGATAGCTGACAGAGATTAACTGCACAGAAATTGTAGGTGGTTCAGGCCATGTGCTGCTGACCACGTGATGCCTGAACTGACGAACGGGCTGGTCGCCCGGCAATGTCACATGGCGACAAAGGTTTCTAAAACCCTGCTCTCAGCTGTCAGCTCCTCACAGGAAGTGAACAGCAAGCAGCTCCATCCGATACAGAAAACGTGAGCAGTTTCTCCGTGAGTGGTCCCAGGTCCTTGCTTTGGAATCACCTGGAGTCTTCTTTGAAATGCAGATTCCGGCTCTAGAATCAGGGTCTTTGGGGCTGAGGCTGCCTCCCCGCTCCACCCCAAGGATTTTTGATGCACCCCAAAGTTTAAGGATCTTGCTCCCTAAGTCTGGCTGAGTCCTTCTGCACTCTATTGTAACCGCGGAGGCCATCGCTGGGTGGCCCGGGGCAAGCTTTGGACTGGGGTGTCACACCTACAGTGTGTCTTTCCTCAAGCACGCTCCCCTGAGTCGCAGGGCGTTTAGTCAGTTTTTCTGTAAAAGATCATCTTTAAACAAAGCAAAGGCTTGCTGACCAATCACTTTTGCATAATAGACATGGAGGTATGACTTCTGTTCTTACAGCTTCTATTCCTTCTATCACTTACCGTCAACTCCCACTGGCCTGTTTACCCAAGTCCCAGGGTAAGAACCAGTTGCTCTATTCCCCCTCCTTGGGCCAGGCGTGTGTGGGAACCGACTGGCGACTGGCGTTGCACCGCCCTAAGCCTTTTGCTCTCTGTCTTAACAGAGGAAGTGCCGTTTTGTCCCCATTGAGTTGGGAGGTGCCCCCTCCGACAGCTCCCTGCTCCCTCAGTGTCACAGTCCACAGAGAAAGCCCTTAGCTCATGGCAAGCACAGAAACCATGCAGTTACCTGCCAAATGTGTGGTTTTTAATTGGGAAAGGTCACCAGGCAACTCTGTTAAGGTCACCCTAACCTATTTGCTCTCTGTCCACCTTCATTGCCAAAGCTTGGCGTGCCCTGAAAGAGATCTGGTGTGGGGCCAACAGGATTCCAGGATGTTTACCGTCTGTCATATTTACAGATGCATCTCAACAACTGCATGACATTTTCAATAGCTATTGAGAGATTTTCCTGTGGACACTTTTGCCCCCTTTTCATTGCCATCACCACGTCTCATCCTTCATTTCTGTTGATTGCTGGTGTTTTGATCAGGTTTTCCAGGGGCGATGATGAAAAACTTGGAGCCACTTATGCCCTCCTGTCTGTTTCAGCTTCTGAGCAGGACACACCTGGGTGCTCGAGAAATGTTTGCTTCCCTGGAGAGGACCCGGCTGGCCCGCTGGCTGGGATGCGGGCCATGATTTCACCTTAAAACCAGGTCTTCAAGGCACCACACCGTTTTCAGGGAGCTGGAAAGAGCCCGCCTCCTCCACCCATAGCGGTGCGTCACCCGCTGGAGGTGGCATATTCACCCCAAGCCCTCCTGTCTTCAGACTCCCTCCACATCTCAAACCGTCATTCTTTGCTACCATTTTCCTGCTCTTTAATCATGTTTCCTTTATCCTCTCCAACCTCGATGTGCCTTTGAAGGCAGGGAGATGAAGGCAGAGAGAGTGCAGCCTGATAAGTTGTGTAATTCTGAGGAAGCTACAAAATTCTTCAAACTTGTGCTTTCAGTCAATGCCTCTACTCATCGTAAACATTCTTGCTTAACTTCTTCTCCTGCCACGTTTCTAATTTTGCTGTTTTCTCTGAAAATACTTGGCTGAAACACTCGCAGGGGAACCTTCTCCAAATCCCACGGTGATTCTGACACATCTTGCTGCCAGAGACCAGGGAGTGGGCCCTGCGGTGTGAGGGGAGGGGCTGCGGAGGCCACCACAGGTGCGGCCTCTCTGCATGGGCGGGGCGGTGGCCCAGGGTGTCCTGGGAGGAGAGGGACTCCCAGAGCACAGAGAGTTTCTCACAGAATCACCACCGCATGCAGCTGAGGGCTTGACTGGTTTCCAGGGCCCCGCTTGTCCCTCGGAACAAGCATGTTAACATCGCAGGCTTTCGGGATGAGGAAAGCAAACTCGGAAGCTTTTCAAGGCAACTCTGATTAATGTGTTTCTTTAACAGTCATTTTGCGGAACTCTGTGCACCTGGGACCAGGCCTCACCCCCACATGGTTCTCTGCAAAGGGGCCAATTTCTACAGCAACGGTTGAGCGGGGGTGGGAGGGCGGGAAGAAGCAAAGAACACAAAGATGTGGCTTGTTTTTGAAGAGTAAAGTCAATGCACTCCATTTTTTTTCCTTGTGGTAAAACATAATAAGCTAAAACTTGCAATTTCTAAGTGAATAAGTTGGCGGTATTATGCACATTCAGAATGTTGTTTCAGGGTCACCGCCATCCATCTCCAGATCTTTTCCATTGTCACAGACTGAATCTCTGGCCACATTAGATGACAGCTCCCCACTCCCTCCCCCAGCCTCTGGCCCCCACCTTCTACTTCCTGTCTCTGAGAATTGGAAGGCTCTAGGAACCTCATGTGAGTGGAATCCTACAGTATATGTCCTTTTGTGTCTGGCTGCTGTCACTCTGCATAATGTCCTTAAAGCTCACCCATGTTGCAGCATGTGGCAATTTTCCTTCCTCTTTAAAGAAGAATAGTTTTCCATTGTGTGGACACACCACTGCCTTATGGATTTCGAGTTTCCAATCTGGATGTAGCTCCCTGCACCTGGGCTTGGCCCCACAGACCCCTGTCGGAGTCCGATTCCACTGCAGGCCGCTGGCATGTGAGCTGGGCAAGTCCCTGAACCTCCCTTGTCAACCAACTGAGGTAACACTCCCGTTGGCGTCCTGTCAAGGCCTTCTCACAAGGGTGGATTCACCATAAATGTCCACACAGGGTTCTCCCAGGAATCCCTCCAGAACCCAAGCCCAATAATTTGCCCTGGTGTTTCCCGCTTTCCTCGTCTTAAGAATAATCCCCACTTTATACAGACACTCAACTCTCCATGTCCCTCCCTGGCGTCCTGGGTGGGTCCAGAGGGCTGGTGGGTGGGGAGGAACCGCAGAGACTGGGGAAGGAGCCGACCATGGGCCTGAGGGCCTCAGGGACGAGGGTCCTGCGAGCCATGTGAGTAGCGGCAGAGGAGACAGGGGACACAGAGCACCTCTGAGAGCCTGGGCCTGGTGATGGCCTTGCAGGAGGAGAAAGGGGCGCATACTGAAGCAGAAGACGGACGGGATTTGGTGGTCAATTGGTCAGGGCTGGGGGCAGTTTTGGGGAACTCCCACATACAGCTGGGTGGGGGTACTCTGATTTTTAACGGCCAGAATGACGTCAGGTCAAGGCGGCAGTCCTTAAGAGGGAGGTGTCTGAGAAAGGGGCCCATTGCTCATTCTCAGCAGGCCCCCGGACGCATAATCTGAAAAGGTTTGGGGTGTTGGGGGGCGAGCACATGCTCTGAGCCCAAGCTCCAGTGACGCACTCATTGCGTCCCAGGCACCACGACCTTGGGGGCTATGGCATTCTTAGGAAAACGTCTGCATTCCTCCATTTGGTTCTGATGCTCTTGCTCCACTGAGGTTGAGCCTGGGAGTGTGTGTACACACGTGTTTGCACCTGTTGGTCCAGCTCGATGTTTGGAAAAGATGGGGAGGCCTTGAGAGGGCCGCTGAGGGAGCCCCACCAGCCTGGGCTGCTCTTCTCACGTCCTCAGGGCGTATTCTGAAGGCAAAACCCAGCAAGAGACAGGGACCACTGCGGTGACGGCAGCCTCACTGAGGGTGAGAGAAGAAGGAAGAATTCTTGGCGCCTGTCCCCGTGGACCAGGGGAGGTGGTGCCGCCTCAGACTGTTGAAAAATCTTCCTCTTCTGCCTTGTAGTTCCCCTTAATGGTTGTTCTAAACCCTTCGGGAGAATCTTTCAGCTTCGTGTGGTGGCGACGTGGAGGATGGCGGCCTGAGGTGGGAAGGCGGGGGAGTAGGCCAGTGTCACCCTCTGCTGAACCTGGGAAAGGCGTCCCCAAGGCTGGGACTGGAGTTCTGGGGAGAAGACCTGAGGGGCGAGGGGTGCCAACAGAGGAGCCACTGCAGAGGGACTGGGGGAAGGCACAGCCCCTGGAGCAGTAACCGAATTTCACATTTAGAGTAGCGTTGCCCAAAATCCTTTTTATGGACTGTAAATAACTTGTAATGCTGAGTAATTCCTGAATTGGCCAGCACAGCCATCCATTTGAAATCAGAGGAAAACGAGGTGTTCCTACGTAGTTGGCAGAACAAGTTTTTGAAGGGATTCTTGCCAATGGGCCTAGTTCTTGGTGATGTGATAATAAGCTTAGTGGATAATGGGGGATGCAGTGAGCTAGAGCATCTTTCTGCTTCTTTCGAGCATTTGTGGCTTCTCCATAAAACCTGTCTTAGAGAAAACCAGCCAGCTTTACATCCATGAGTTGTGGTTCTATTGGCCCCTATTTTTTCCCATTGAAATCATACACCGTGTAGTTACTAATAGCTCAATGTCAAGTCAGGAGGGAGTATTGATCTGAAGAAGGCACTTTTCTCAATTGCTACCAGCTTTGGAAATGGAAATTGACATTAAGCCTTCTGATTCCTTGGGAGAAATAAATGGGAATCGATACAAGAAGACTCGCTGGGGCCTAAACAAAGAAATGGGTTGGGAAAGAAAAAC